CCCCACACACACCACTTATTTTTTTTAAAACGTTTTTTAGTAAAAGGGGTAAAGTAAAATGTTTACAAAAGCACAATGATACGTTTTGTAGCAAAATTGGATAATATTCACTGAAAGTAATATTTACTGGTTTTATAGCTCTTTTATAATAGAGATCAGAATTCTTTTATGGAAGCAAATAAGCTGAAGATCATGAAGGTTAGCTGCTCCTTCTTCCAGAGTTGATAGGAAAATCTGGGAAGAAATACTGTTCACCAATTCCAAAATATTCTTTTCTGAAATAACGGGTTTGGTGAAGATCCCTTCCTGGATTCTTGGTGGGTGTGGTGCAGAGCTAGGCACTTTGGGAACTTCTGGGCTCTATTTTGAGGCTTGCATTGGAACTGCCTTGTAGATTTTCCTGAGGGTCCCAGATAACAAGAGTTCCCTGGAGGAACCAAGGGAAATCAGCAGGCAGGGGCCAAGGAGCTTCGGTTTGCTGGACATTGGAAAAAAGTTTGGTTTTGTTTCAGATTACCTTTGACTCTCCTCCTTGCGGTAGATTTGCCATAAAGTAAAAACATTGTAAAAGTAGTTGTTGTTTCTTTACAGTTGCAAGATTACAAGGCAATTCTTTATATTAATGGATTGGTCAGTGCACTAGTTTGAGGTTGCTAGACAGGGTAAGTCTCTATTCAAACAAAATAGTTGCTGACATGGTCTCACTGTTAAGACTGCTTACAGAGTTTCATCTTTTCTATTTCCTGACTTTCAGTTAAGAGGCTTTTAAAAATTAAAATAAACCCCCCAAAGTTTATGCTTGGTTACCTAACTTTCAGCACCTGAATAAGGTCCTGATCAAGTGCATGCTGAAATTCAAACAGCTGAATTAATCCCATCTTTATTTGATGTAGCACTTAAACAAGTGCTTAAGTTGCACTGAACTCAGCAGGATGTAGATATCTGAATGGTCTTAGTATTTTGAGTCCAGTCTTACTGATCTGGATTATTTTGCTTTCAGTGAGAGCTGTGGGTATCCAGCATCTCTGAAAATCACTGATTTGGATACCTAAACTTTGGCATAAATATCAAACTCGGATGCCTTGTAGTTTTTATTAATGAGCTAAAGAGAGAGAGAGTTTCATAGATTTCATAGACATTAGGGCTGAAAGGGACATCAGAAGATCATCGAATCCAGCCCCCCGCCCAAAGGGCAGGAAGTCAGCTGGGGTCATAGGATCCCAGCAAGATAAGCATCCAATTTGCTCTTGAAGGTGTTCAATGTAGGTGCTTGAACCACCTC